CCCAACGAGGTAGTTTTTCTTATTTTTTTTTTTTGTTGTTGTTTTCTCTTTCCTTTGTTTTTTTTTTTTTTGGGACAAAGTCGTTTTTCCTTCTTCTGTTTCTTCTGTTTTGGTGTTTTGATTTTCATTTCTCGGCAGTTTCGTCTTTCAATAGGAAACGACAAAAGTCCCTGTGCTAAATCATACCGCCCACCACATTATATTCTAATCACAAAATTCTCAATTATAAATGATAGTTGAAAATTAATACTTTCAGTGATAAATCTGGCCGGTTTCTCTTCATAAACCATTCTTTATATTCTTTAACATATATCAAACGAAAGTTGGTATTGCATACAATCCAGGCAGTATTTGTGCAAACTTTTTTTTTTTATTTATTTATAAAAATTTTAAGTACAAGCGAATGGATGAGGGGATTTACAAAATATTCATTGAGTGTTTGGAGGGGTGGAGGTGAAAGAGCTCAACCAACTGAACTATACCCCACATGAAGGTGGAATATTTTAAACAATTGTTGATGATAAATTACAAAAACCAAATTAATCTTAGCGACAATATATATATATATATATATGATGATCGAGGCATATGTTAATTCAGGAGTATGATGCTAATTTCTTTTGTACAACTAGAAAATGGAATACATATCATGCTAACTTCAAACGTTATATTCAATCTTTGAATACATATCATACTAATTACCCTTTGCCTAATGATATTGCTGGCCTCAGGTTGAGTCATTCTTTCCAAAGTATGAAGAACTTGAACTATGTGGATCTGCCTGACTCGTGGAACATCAATGTGCCAGAAACTCCCCAAAATCCAAAAGCAAATCCTAGCCCCATACTGATGTAAAATCCACGCGTTACAAGCCCACCTTCATGGTCTTGATTCCCTAAGCCAGTTTGTTGAACACTGCCTTTCTCTTTCTCTTGATCACACATCCTTTGAAGTGGAAGTCCACAAAGCAGAGGGTTTTCGGCAAAGGCTGACGGATCAAAGTTTTGGAGCTGAGACCCCATTGGAATATTTCCAGACAGGTTGTTGTTTGACAAGTCCAAGTCACCAAGACCATATATCTGAAAAAGACTTGTCGGAATTCTTCCATCGATCTGGTTTCTTGATAAATCAAGAGACTGTAATAACTCCAACTTCCCAATGTCTGGATTTATTTGACCTATTAGTTGGTTTCGCGACAGGTTTAAAGAAACCAAACCACCAAGATGAATGATTTCTTTAGGAATCTCCCCCGTCAATTGATTGCTTGACAAATAAAAGCTCTTCACAAGTCCCAGAGTGCTCTTGTATTCAGACATTATTCCTTTCCATATTAAGGTTGCTGCATCATCATAGCTCTCCGAAAAAAGCCCATTTCCAAAATCACTTGCATAATGATGAGTGATGGTTAGAATTGAATGCCCTTTATCAACTAAAGCCGTCAAATTGCTGAGACACTTGGGTATAGTTCCAGAGATGTTGTTAATTGACAAATCCAATATTTGGACGTGTGTTAGATTGCATAACTGTAAAGGAATTCTTCCATAAAAGCGATTAGAACGGAGGATAAGGATAACCAACTTCGGAAGTTCAAACCCTAACCATCCAGGTATCAATCCTGACAGTTGATTTTCTGCAGCATCAATAACTTTCAAGTGTTTACAGTTCATCAAGGATGAAGGCAACTCTCCCACAAATCTGTTGTGTTTGAATTTCAAGGTTTCAAGAGAATATAAATTCCCCAAGGTGGTAGGAATTTTGCCCAAAAAACCATTGCCACAAAAGTCAAGAATGACTAGATTTTCTAAATGCGTCCAGCAATCTGGAAGTTCTTCAGATACATGGTTGCCCGAGAGATCAAGAAGGGTTAAATTACTGGCCTTGATTCCACACAAGAAAGAAAAGAACCCGGAAAGTTTGTTGCTGGATAGATCTAGAGATGATGATTTTGACAGAAATGAAGGAATTGGACCTTCCAGTTGGTTCCAACTAAAATTTAGCTTAGGGGAATAAGCAAACTCCATTGTTGAACTTGGAAATGTTCCTCTAATTTGGTTGTGGGAGAGATTTATAAGGACAGCTGTATGTGACAAAACCTAAAACCAACTTGGAATGATGTTAGAAATTGTAGTGTTAGAGGTATCAAGGGATGAATAATTTTTCTGAGTTTGAAGCCACTGTGGGAAATATGGACCCATCTTGCAAGACCTCAATATTATGACACTCAATTGAAAAGGAGGGACCCAATCAGAATGGAAGTTTAAAACCAGTGAGTTGGAGGATAAATCCAAATATTTTAACTTGGAGAGTTTTGAAAAATGAGTTTCAAAAATCACCCCTTCCAGAGAATTCTTACCAAGATTGATGTACACCAGATTGGACATTTGTCCAATACTTTCAGGTATTCTCCCGCTTAATCGATTTTCGTAGAGAGATAATCGTGTCAATAATTGCATTTGCCCAATACTTGTAGGTATTCTTCTGCTTAATTGATTTCCATAGAGAGATAATTCTATCAACGATGATATTTGCCCAATGCTTTCAGGTATTTCTCCACTTAATTGGTTGTTAGAGAGATACAAACCTTCTAGTTTCTTTTGAGAACATTTAGACAATATCTGAACAAACTTGGGAAATTCTCCACTGAGATTATTGTTTGAAAGCCCTAATGATCTCAAACTGCATAGCTCTGAAAATGAATTTGTTATGTCTCCTTCAAGTTGGTTATCAGTGAGATTAAAGACTGCAAGAGAGCTCATGTTGCCCCAAACATCCATAGCTGAACCTGCAGTCCTTAAAAAGTCATTAAATAAAGAGCCTACATAAACTTTGTTTAATTAATTAAGGAGCTTCTTAATTAACTACTTTAATTATTACATAGCTTTTCTGCATATATAATTAGTAATATTTAGTATGTAGTTAAAGTCATGCTGCAGCAAGCCAATCATTTAAATTAGAACTAATCGTACCTTGCAAAGATTGGGATCCAAGCTGAAGTTCAACAACCTGGCCAGTTTGGTTGCTGCAATAGACTCCTTTCCACGTGCAACAATCTTTGTTTTGGCCTTCTGAGGTGCCCCATGTAGAGACTATTTGACTGCGGGTATCCACGACGAGGCCTTGTTTGAATGCAAGGAGGGCTTGTCTTTCCCTCTCTATGTATCCATTTATTGAAGGACTCATGTGTAGCAAAGGCACCACAAAAGCATACCAGAGTTTGAAGCACCTTCTGAGGTCAACTATGGCCATCGAAGTGAGGGAAGGAGAGGAATAGTTGAGAGAGAGACAGAGAGATAGAGCTGGAGAGAGATGGACGGATTGAGGTTGTGGTTTCTATGTTGCAGACAGAATTATGGGATAGTAAACGTTTAATCCTTTTACAGATACAAGAGATGAGCTTTGTCTAAGGAATTGCATGGGTTTATATACTAATAGTACGTATCGAAACCTAGTAGCCCAATCTTAGTGTAGTGGTACTTTTCAAAAAAGCTAATTATTAATTTGAAGTTTACAATTTGTCGAAGAAATATCTTGCTTTTATTTTGGTCAATGTAATTCTATTCAAATAAATTGGCGAAATTGAAACAATTTGGTGCGTATATGATTTGTGAAAGTAATTTGTAAATCGTGACAGAGCTAGAATTTCTCTTTTTTGTAGGGTAATGCCAATTTAGTCAGTCGCGTGGCAATATATTCCACTGATGGGGCACGCATTGTAGGAAACTTATGCCACTACATTTTGTCACCCGTTATCAATCAATAGCTGCATCATAGGAAAAAAACTAAACCAAACTTGACTAATTCGTAAGTTAAATTTTCATTGTGGGAAACTTATGCCACTACATTTCGTCACCCGTTATAGCGTCAAAGGAGAAAACCTGTCCATGATGATCTCACAAGTAGCCAGGTATTTTGACTTGCATTGTCGACTTCTTTACAACGTGGACCTAAGCTTTTCATTTTGTCTTAACCAAACTTGACTAATTCGCAACTTGAATTTTCATAGGGGGATACCAAAATGTTAACTTGCCTTGATAATTGTCGTCTTTCAAATCTTGGAACTATTGAATTCGATGGAAACCCTTGTAAGAAAGAATCTGCTTAGTAATCCACATTTGTGCCTATATCACTCATCACGTGACACGATAGCTAAAATTGTCTTATCATGTAATGTAAACATAAATGAAAAACTGAGTTGATTATTTGCAAACAATACAAATTCTTACCGTGTCACTAGCTAAGATTCTTCATGGTGAGCAAATGTAATTGATGTGTGTAATTTTTTCAATGTCGGATGTTGGACGTAATTGATGTTTCCTTGTAAGAATTGCCAATTAGGCTTGCAAATTGAAATATGGTTTAACGCTACTGATATTAATTGGCATACCAAGTTCTAAGACAAGACAACATGACTCTTGAATCGTTTGGTTAAATGTATGTCAAGTCGTTTTGCTGGGAAAATGATGTTGATCTAGATCCAATGTCGTTTGGTTAAATGTATGTGTCTGGACTTTAAAATTTCTCCATTAGGTGGAAGTCTAAGTAGTCATTTGTCTTCGCATAACGCAAGTACTGACTATGACAATAAGCGGTGTCATGTCAAGTCTTCCTTGGAGTCGTTTCAAGTCCTTATAGGACATCTTAGCTAAATAAAAAAAAGTCTTTATAAAACATCAAATTCATATCTTTTTTTTTAACGTCCTATCCACCCCAAGTCTTTTTTTTTTTTATTCGGAGAGAATTATCTTTATAAAAACTTATTCATCGATCAAGTCTTGTGCCTTTAAAAATTGCACATCTGTCGAAAAATTTCTGAGTCCGCTAGTGGTTATGTATGCTCAATTATCAAATGCAAAAATTTATCTTCTCATTATTAGCTTCCCTCAAATTAAAAATCAAGTAAATAAAGGCAAAGGATTATCCATTCAACCAACATTGAGATAGCATGCAAGAATCATAGGGAAACCATGCGATGCAATAAATTCATATTACATAACTAGGGTTTATGCGGTAGATATTATCATTTCAATTAAAATCTGCACAAATGCAAATGAAACAAGAACGTTAT